GACGGGAGGTGGGAGGGAACCACAGGGGTATACAAAGTGAATAAAGTGTAATTAATAAAGAATGAAAAAAGGTAAGTGAAAGAGAAAAAGGCAACTATAGAAGCTATGACCGACCCTGTGTTCACAAAGCACCAAATGTATTATTGAAGTGAAGTCGGGCCAGGCTGTGGAAAACATGCTTTCGAATAGGCGGCCCCAAAAGCAGCTGTGCTCCAGGCAGGCCTGATCCCTTGTGGATACATCTTCTATGTCTCTGGGACTCCCATTCTAGTAGATTCTCATTCGCGCATTCTAGCTGGGGCTTGTGGCAATGTATTAGTCCAATGGGATAATGTGGTTTTCCTTCTGTTTGTAATGGAGAAGAATTCAAACAAAAACGATTTTTTTTTCCTATGGAACATTTAAAAAAGCTCCGCCATTTCTTCACACATTTAAGCTACCTAGAAAAGGGCATCCACAGCAGCATTTAATTTTTTTTTAAAAAAATTGAAGTCTGAGTTTTCATGCATCTCAATTATGAATTCCTTTAAAGCAGAGGCAAGGCATATTTATCTTAATGTCCCCAGCACTCAGCCCAAAGCCCCGGCATACAGAAGTCCTCCACAAGCCCTTATTTTCTTTCTTGTATACAATCATACATCTCCATGTTTGAGCATTTCTGAGCTGTCTTGAACTTTATATAACATTGTTCTCACTGTGTAATGCCTATTTGTCTTAATTTCATCCTTCCTTCCTTCCTCCCTCCCTCCCTCCCTTCCTCCTTCCCCCCTCCTTCATTCCTTCCTTCATTTCTTCTCTCTGGTGTTTATGCATAAATGTTTGTGTGTGTGTGTGTGTGTGTGTGTGTGTGTGTGTGTGTATACTGATGAATTGCTTCTCAAACACTGTCAACCTTATTTTCAGTTTTGAAGCAGTGTCTCCCACCAGGGACTGTATCTTCCCGTTTCTGCCTCCCTGGTGCTGGGATTCCAAGCACAGGCCACCAAGCCTGACCTCTTTTACAAGGTTTCTGGGTATTAAGCTCTGGTTGCCCATACTAGAGCAGCAAGCCCTCCACGGGCTAAGTTGTCTCCTCAGCACTAACTTTACTTCTTTTAACCACTTACAGTTCTTTTACTTTACTCTTACTTTTACTCCAGCTGTTCAAATGAAAAGGGAATTTATTTCCGGGTTGTTGATATGACATGACATCTGAGAGCTGGCAAGTGAAATTGAGGCTAGCCTAAAGAGAGCCAGGTGGAAACGAAACTGCTGGAATGGCCTTCTCTACCGAATGGTTCTTGTCTTCAGGATGAGGTGCTTCTGCATCTTGTGTTCTGGTTTTCTTTTTCTTTTCAAAATTTCCAAGATTAAAAAAAAAAAACACATATTCTGAAACTGTTATTTTATTTTATTTTATTTTGCCTTAAATGTCAAGAACTTCACCATTCTGTGATTAGAATTCTGTTGATGTCATATCGGTTCCAGCCTGCCAGTCAGAGTAGGTTAGGATGGTTGCTTTGTCTGCCATCTGGGGAATGGATTTCATGGTGAGGAGCTCATGGCTTTCACTTGATTTGCAGGTGAGAGGATCCAGGTCATTGCTTTAATTTTCCTCTGTTTTTCAACCTGTGTCAGGAATGCATTTTCCCTGCCTCTCTACCCCTCCACCCTCCTCCCCTGGTAACCTATCATATGCTTCTGAAAAACTGACTCTGGGACATTCCTTGAGTTCAATATGTTTCTTAACAAAATGTGAATGTCTTTCTGCTCTTTTTTTTATTTTTTGGATAAGTTCTTTATGACTGTTAGAGAACGGTGGGAATTTGGAGTCTGTGTACAAACCCTAGGGTTAGCTCTATTCATCCAGGCTGGGACAGTGGGAATAATGATCTTTGTTTCTTGTCCCTGTATGCACTGAAGTGTTTATTGTTTCTTCACTAGTCAGACTGGGTTTCCTTATTCAGAAGGTTTGAAGTTTTTAAACTTTTAGAAAATAAAGACTAAATGAAAACTTTCATAGCAAGAAAAAAGAAAGGGCCTGAATATACCACCTCTTTATCTATACTCAGTGCAGAATGCATTTGAAAATTATAATTCTCTTAGATTGAACAGTTCTTAGCTAATGACAATATTTTTTATTTTATTGATTACAGTTTATTCACTTTGTATCCCACCTGTAGCCCTCTTTCTCATCCCTTCCCAATCCCACCCTCTCTCCCTCTTCTCCTTCCATGCCCCTCTCCAAGTTCACTGATAGGAAGGTCCTCCTTCCATTCCATCTGATCCTAGTCTATCAGGTCTCATCAGGAGTGACTGCATTTTCTTCCTCTATGGCCTGGTAAGGCTACACTCCCTGAGGGGGAGGTGATTAAAGAGCCAGCCACTAAGTTCAGAGACAGTCCCTGTTCCCATTACTAGGGAACTCACTTGGACACTAAGCTGCCATGGGTTACATCTGTGCAGGGGTTCTAGGTTATCTCCATGAATGGTTCTTGGTTGGAGTATCAGCCTCAGAGAATACCCGTGTCCAGATTTTTTGGTTCTGTTGGTCTCCCGTGGAGCTCCTGTCCTCTCCAGGTATTTCTGTCTTCCCCTTTTTTCATAAGATTCCCTGTACTCTGCCCTAGGTTTGGCTATGAGTCTCAGCATCTGCTTTGACACCCTTCATGGAACAGTCTTTCAAGGGCCCTCTGTGGTAGGCTCCTGTCTTATTCCCTGTCTTCCCCCTCTTCTGATATCCATCCCCTTTGCCTTTCTGAATGAGGACTGAGCATCTTAGCCAGTGTCCTTCTTGTTTAGCTTCTTTAGGTGAACAGATTTTACTATGTTTTTCCTATATGTTTAACATCTACTTATAAGTGAGTATATATCCTGTGTGTCTTTCTGCTTCTGGGTTACCTCACTCAGTATGACCTTTTCTAGTTCCCACCATTTGCCTGCAAATTTTATGATTTCCTTTTTTGTTTTAATTGCTGAGTAGTATTCCACTGTGTAAATGTACCACAATTTCTGTATCCATTCCTCAACTGAAGGGCATCTGGGTTGTTTCCAGCTTCTGGCTGTTACAAATAAATCTGCTATGAACATGGTTGGGCAAATGTCCTTGTTGTATACTTGTGCATATTTTGGATATATGCCCAGGAGTGGTATAGCTGGATCTTGAGGTCGTACTATTCCTAATTATCTGAGAAAGAGCCATATTGATTTCCAATGTGGTTGTACAAGTTTACATTCCTATCAGCAATGAAGGAGGTTTCCCTTTTCTCCACATCATCTCCAGCATGTGCTGTCACTTGAGTTTTTGATCTTAGTCATTCTGATGGGTATGAGGTGAAATCTCAGGGTCATTTTGATTTACATTTCCCTGATGACTGAGGAAACTGAACATTTCTTTAAGTGTTTTTCAGCCATTCGATATTCCTCTATTGCAATATTCTATTCCTGGGTGGGATAGAATTTACATTTAAAAGAAAAAATATTTATCATTTTGGCTTTTTCTTGCTTACTTAAAACCAGAGTTTTCTCCTTCTGGGATACTTCACTCAGAATGATCTTTTCTAGATCCCACCATTTGCCTGCAAATTTCACGATTTCCTCCTGTTTGATTACTGAGTAGTATTCCATTGTGTAAAAATACCACAATTTCTGTATCCATTCCTCCGTTGATGGACATCTGGGTTGTTTCCAAGTTCTGGCTATTACAAATAAAGCTGCTACAAACATGGTTGAACAAATGTCCTTATTGTGTACTTGAGCAAATTTTGGGTATATACCTAGGAGTGGTATAGCTGGGTCTTGAGGTAGCACTACTCCTAATTGTCTGAGAAAGCGCTAGATTGACTTCCAAAGTGGTTGTACCAGTTTACATTCCCACCAGCAATGGAGGAGGGTTCCCCTTTCACCACAACCTCTCCAGCATGTGTTGTCCCTTGAGTTTTTCATCTTGGTCATTCTGATGGGTGTAAGGTGAAATCTCAGGGTTGTTTTGATTTGCATTTCCCTAATGGCTAATGAGGTTGAGCATTTCTTTAAGTGTTTCTCTGCCATTTGATGTTCCTCTTTCGAGAATTCTCTGTTTAGCTCCGTTCCCCATTTTTTTAATGGGATTACTTGGTTTGTTGCTTTTCTGCTTCTTTAGTTCTTTATATATACTGGATATTAGCCCAACTTGGTATATACTCACTTATATAGACCTACAAGATATGATAAACATAATGAAATCTACACACCTAAAGAAGATAATCAAGAAAGTGGACATGGGTGAAGATGATCAATCCTCATTTAGAAAGACAAATGGGATGTGCATTGAATGTATGACAGGAGTCTACCACAAAAGGCATCTGAAAGACTCTACCTAGCAGTGTTTCAAAGCAGACACTAAGACTCATAACCAAACCCTCGGCAGAGTGCAGGGAATCATATGAAAGAAGGGAAGTTAGTATGATATGGAAAGGATAGGAGCTCTACAAGGACCAAATATATCCGGGCACAGGGTCTTTTCTGAGACTGACACTCAACCAAGGACCATCTATGAATATAACCTAGAACTTCTGCTCAGATGTGGCCCGTGGTAGCTCAGTAACCAAGTAGTTTTCCAAAGTAAGGGGAACACGGACTATTTCTAACAGGATCTCAAGGGCAGGCTCTTTGACCTCCCCCCCCCCCCACCCCAGGGAGGAGCAGTCCTGTTAGGCTACAAAGGAGGACTTTGCAGCCAGCCCTGAAGATACCTGATAAAACAGGGTCAAATGAAAGGGGAGGAGGTCCTCCCCTATCAGTGGACTTGGAAAGGGGCAGGGAGGAGAAGAGGGAGGGAGTTGGGGAGAGGGAGGGAATGAGGGAGCGGGATACAGCTGGGACACAGAGTTAACAAATTGTAACTAAAAGAAAAATAAAATTAAAAAAAACAGAGTTTTCTTACACGCATGCTTTTCGTTTATAATTGGGTGATCAAATTCATAAGGGTAGCCCATTACATTGTTTCCCATTGTCATTTACCTTTTTTTCCACTTGCACAGGGAATCAGCAGTCTCTTCAGTTCTTTAAAAGTGGTCCGCCTCTTACGCCTGGGCCGAGTTGCTAGGAAACTGGACCATTACCTGGAATATGGAGCGGCGGTCCTTGTGCTCCTGGTGTGTGTGTTTGGACTGGTTGCTCACTGGCTGGCCTGCATCTGGTACAGCATCGGAGACTATGAAGTCATTGATGAAGTCACCAACACCATTCAAATAGACAGCTGGCTCTACCAGTTGGCCTTGAGCATTGGGACTCCGTATCGCTACAATACCAGTGCTGGGATCTGGGAAGGAGGACCCAGCAAGGACTCCCTGTATGTCTCCTCCCTCTATTTCACCATGACGAGCCTTACAACCATAGGATTTGGAAATATAGCTCCAACCACAGACGTGGAAAAGATGTTCTCAGTGGCCATGATGATGGTTGGCTGTAAGTACCGTTTTTGCTTTCTCTATTAATTTTAGTGTTTGCAATTTTTTTTTTCCTGCCTCTAAACTCTGACCGGATTGAAACGATCTTTTTCTTATGAAAGGTTTAAACTAAAATCACTTGCCACTGGTTTACTTTTGATGCAGCCCTGGAAAATCAGAGATGCAAGAAATGTGTTTTTCTCTTTGGAATACACTAGCACATGAAAAACTGCGCATGTGCGGGGGATGGTAGAAAACTCAGACTGGGATGTCTGTGACTGGATTCCATTCGTGGTGTTGTGCCTAGCAGCTCTTGAGAAGGAACTAGCTCTGGTATCTAGACAGGAGGTGTCTGGCGCATTCTGTAGGTTTTGTTGGCAGTTGGATTCCTAAAAAAGCAGATGGGATGTGATATAAGACCATAGTTAGAAAATATTTTAGTCAATAACTGAATTTCTGAATTAAAGCGGACTTAAGGATACAGTTAGATGTATTTTTTTTTATAATGAAGGGTAGTGAAAAGCAGTTCATAAATGTAGCCTTTTGACAAACACTGAAGTCGGTTGAGTTTTGCCAGAGAGTGAAAGGGTTGGTGAACTGAAGGCCTTTAGCAGTGTGTATGCCTGAGTACAGGGACTTGCTGATGCTCTTGAAAGGAGAATGCCCTTTCAAAGAGCTAAAGAGCATGTTCTCTGCCTTACATTCTGACTGAACAGTATCAGAGTTCCAGAAATGAAAGAGGGACAGACATTAGATGCCGTTTTAAAATGTCTCAAAGGAAAGTTTCCAGGCATTTCCACCCTTAGGCTGCCCTAGATGATTCCTTCAAGCCTAGTCCAGAAACCTGGTGTAATTTTAAGGTTGTGCTGAGGATGTGGTCAGTGTTAAGATATTTCCTAACTAAGCCTTGAAGTTGTTAGCATTGGTGTTTGGTATAATGTGGTGTAAATCTTCTTTTCATTTCATTTTTTTTTGAGGCTCCAAAAATATGGACATTCATGAGAAAGATGTTAGAGTTCAGCCGTTCTCAACTGTCCAAATGCTGCAACCCTTTAATACAGTTCCTCATGTTGTAGTGACTCTTACCGTCCAAGTTCTTTTGGTTGCTACTCCATAACTGGAATTCTGCTACAGTTATGAATCATAGTATAAATATCTGATATGCGGGCATACCTGGTATGTAACCCCGGGGGGGGGGGGGGGGTTGCGACCCACAGGTTGAGAATCCCTGTCTAAGTATTCATTGTTGAGAGTGTTGGTAAGTCTCTGGAGCACCAGTGTTATTAAGTGTGTAGTTCCTTACTTTATTCACCGTGTGTACAGCCAGAGAGCCAAAAATTCCCGGGTTGTAAGTCTGGATTAGGTTTTCCGAGAGGGGGAGGATTAGAACGCGAGTGTTATCTATTCTAGCAGTCTTGGGGTGGGGGAAAGGGTTTGTGTTCTGTACACGGACATCTCCCACGATCAATTCAATGGATACTCCTATTTAAAAGATGTTCAGGCAATGATATGACAAAGAAAACGTTTTGTCAAATGTAGAATTCGGCATGACGCTGCTTTTGACAACTATGAAGTCCAGGTTCCCGGACACTTACCCACATCTAGTGTTTGGTGACCTTTTTATTCTGAAGTAATTACAAAAGCACCAGAAGCCGCCGTGCCTGTGCAGAGAAAGGCTCTGTTTGCTTCCTCCCGATTTTCTTCTCTCATCCCTGGGATACAGTATCAGAATTTACAGTCTATGTTTTGCCACAGGTGCCGAGTCTTATCACTGTTCTCACAATTAAGATACGGGATTGGGAGCTGTGGACGTAGGTTAGTGGGAGTGTGCTTGCATAGCCTGAAAGGCCCTGACTCTGACCTCCAGGACTGTGGTGGCGGGAGTGAAATGTCCCTTGGAACACTTGGTCCCTGATTGATGGTCCTGGGAGGGAGGCTTAGGGGGTGTGGCCATGTAAGAGGCAGTGTGTCACTGGAGGCTCTCTTTGCTACCTACCTGACCTTCAAAATGTGAGCATTCAGATTCCTGCTCCTGCTTCCATGCTTTCGCACCACCATCATGGACTCTAACCTTCTGGGCTAGAAGCCCAAATGAGTTATTTCTTCCACGCGATGTCTTGGTCATGCTGTTTTATACCATGATAGAAAAGTAACCAACACAAACACAAAAAGCAAAACAAAACAGAAAAGATTATTTTTTTGAGGGGGAAGAAAATCTTTTATTTTCTGCTTCTTCAAAAATATTTTAACTAACCCATATTTTTACATGTATTGTAAAATTAGTTTTTTTGGTTAAAACACTTGTATATAATGTACATTGAAAATGACTGGGTGGAAATAAAATCACCAATAGTAGTTTTTATTTAATTCAAAATATGAATAACTTACTCCTTTAAGTTGTGAATGTAACATTTCATATTATGAATTTTTAATTAAATTTTTATTTTTATATTAATTACAGTTTATTCATTTTGTATCCAGCTTAGTCCCCTTCTTCCTCCCTCACAATCTCACCCTCCCTCCCTCATCTTCTCTTATGCCCCTTTCCAAGTCCATAGATGGGAGGTCCTCCTCCCCTTCCATCTGACCTTAGCTTATTTCATCAAAATTGGTTGCATTGTCCGCCTCTGTGGCTTGGCAAGGCTGCTCCCCCATTCAGGGGAGGCGCTCAAAGAGCTAGCCACTGAGTTCAGGTCAGAGACAGTCCCTGTTCCCCTTACAAGGGAACCCACTTGGATACTGAGCTGCCATGGGCTACATCTGTGCAGGGGTTCTAGGTTATATCCATGAATGGTCCTTGGTTGAAGTATCAGTCTCAGAAAAGATCCCTGGACCCAGATTTTTTGGTTCTGTTGTTCTTCTTGTGGAGCTCCTGTCCTCTCCAGGTCTTACTATCTTCCCTTCTTTCATAAGATTCCTTGCACACTGCCCAAAGTTTGTTTATGAGTCTCGTTATCTGCTTTTATACAGTGCTGGGTAGAGTCTTTCAGAGGCCCTCCGTGGTAGGCTCCTGTCCTCTTTCTTGTTTTCTCCTTCTTCCATTGTCCATCCCGTTTGCCTTTCTGAGTGAGGATGGATCATCTTACCCAGGGTCCTTCTAGCTCACCTTATTTAGGTGTGCAGATTTTTTCAGTTCTCTTAATACCACAGGTTTTTTTTACACGTCTTTTACTGCCCTCCGCAGTCTATTGAGAATAATTTATTCTCCATCTTTATGATCTTGTGATTTTTAAGATATCATAACAATCATGTGAAACAAAACTTTTAAAAGTTGCCTTTTATACATCCAATTTGAGATGAATGTAAATGGAATTTATCAGTTGTTTTCTTCTGGGTTTCATTTTGTGGTTTGGACCATCACTGTTTGCCCATTCACCCTTTAAAGGACATCGTAATTAAGAGTTTTATTAATTAAGATGTCCTTAATTAAGAGTTTTAATTTAGTTATGTTTCATAATAAGTCTTCATATGTATTCATTACCTATGACACTGTGTTATGTAAGGACATTTCAACACACTTGTACGTTGTACGTAGCCCTTCACAGCCTTCTCCCTGTCTCCTCCCATTAGGAGCCTTCATTCTCTTAGATGATTTTCCTCTGCGCTCATGACATATACACACGTATGACTTTATGTACCTATATTAAACCCAAGGACTATAAATGAAAGAAAACACAAAGTCTTTCTGAGACTTGCTTAATTTAATTAAAATTAATATCTCAGTTGCAGTTATGTTTTTTCACATAAAACTCCTTCCTCTTCCTGTCTCTTTCACACATGCGCAGTCTGCATACCGTATCTTCTTTATCTGTCCCTCTGTTTTTGGACACCTTCCTTGGTTACATAACCTGCCTGTCAGGAAGAATGCTGCATGAATCAGTAAACAATTGCACATCTGTCCATTTCTCCTTTCGAAAAACAAATGTATGACCACGTGCACTACCTGAACTTCTGCTCACTGGGTATTTTCCATCGCCAGTCTTTTTCAGGGCTGTCCCAGAAAGGGGTTGTAATGCTGCAGCTGTCCTTTTCTGAGTGCTGACTGCAAAACACTCAGAACCATCAATAAATCAGGCCTCAGTCTTCTTCTTTTCAGCCAACCCACCACAGAGGACACTCCAGGAGGCTATAGGTGCGCGCTTAGCAGTAAACAGCACTGGAACAGGGGTAGAAACTATTGGCATTTGGGCAACTTTTTTCATGTGACTTGCTTGTGTCTTCAGAACCTGCTCAGGGCTAATCATGTATATACCACTTCCATTTGATAACGGGTTGCTGCTGCGCACCTGCTACTTTAGTGCTTGATGGGTCAGATAAAACTCAGAACATGATGGGCAGCTCTGGTCTCATCATAACTTGGTGGCTCATTGTCAAATGTCCTATTTCCACTAAGGGCCAGGAGCAGGCTAAGAGCTGTCTCTCAGAGGGAAAATTGTCTGAAGATGATGGTAGAGCCTTGCTCCAAAATTCCAGATGTCTCTCTTTGTGAGTCACCCATAGAGGCCTGCCAAAGTCTTCAAAGAGCATCCATATCTTCCACTGATGCCTCAAGTACCTTTAGGTCTGAGGGTCATGTGGTCCAAGTAGTTGAGCTGCTGACACAGCAGCCTTGACTTGTTGAAGAGCCTTCTGTTCTAGGCCCCACAAAAAAACTAGCAGCTTTCTGAGTTTCATGGCTTATGGGCCAGGGTAACACACCCAAGAAAGGAATGTGTGGTCTCCAGGATTCTAGGAGGCCACTGTTAGAATATTGTTGGTGGTGGCAGGGGCCAGGTACATTAACTCATCCTTCATCTTGAAAGGAATGTCTCTGCATGCCCCACAGACTGGAGTATTTCACTGAGGTAGAAGGCCCTGAAGTTTGATTGTATGTACTTCCTGTTCTCTGATGTGTGTATGTGTGACCAATGAGTTCAAAGCGGTTGCTATTTCCTGATCACTTGGTCCAATTAGCATAATGTTGTCAATATAGTGAACCAGTGTGATATTTTGTGGAAGAAACAGATGATTCAAATCTCT